ATTCATTCATTCATCTATTTTCGCTCTATACATTTATTCTAACGATTCATTCGCTTTCGACGCAATTTTTTCCATCTACGTATACAGAGGTCATTGTCGAGATGTTCCAACGTTGTTGACTACCACCTCATTCCTATTTCTTTTTTTTTTTTTTTTTTTTTTTTTTTTTTTTTTTATGTATACTTTAATAAATCGAGGGCTTGATAATAATACGCTACACGTTCATTGACTATATAAATTTGGACAAATAAGAAGGGCGATGAGAAACTTCACGCGGAAACGTGTGAAAAATTTTCCGTTCTCTGCGATGATTTAAGATCTTCCCTTTTTTGTGCTTTATCCGAGTTTTCTATACCTGTTAATTACCAACCGTGACCAATCGATAGATTCTTTCATATTTTCCAAATCTTAATTTTCGCTGCTGATATATAAAGGACTCGTGTTTAACCTTTTTTTTCTTTTTTTGTAATCACTCGTAGTTTCTTAAAGAAAGAGATCTTTAATGTTTCTTGCAATGACTTAATTGAAAATTTTCACTAATGTAATACATTAAAAAATCGTTTCATATTCGTTCCATTTCTTCAAAAGATAATTTAAAGGCATAGAAAATTATGATAGATATTTTCCTCTTTAACGATCTAAATAAAGTCGATATTTCACATCACATGTCATTAAATTAATTATTTTACTTATACATCCTATGACCAATCGTCATTATACATATTCAATGCAGATTTTAATTTATATAATTTTTATAATATTACAATAAATAATTCTATATTTCATATAAGTAAATAATAATTTTATAATTAAATTTTTTTTCTTCTTCTACATACATATAAATGTACAATAATTAATTTAATTTTATAATGTTTAGATTTTGTATGTAATAACATTTTATGCTTTGATGTGTCTCTAATGCCAATGTATTTCTATTATATCTTATAATATTATGTTTGTTTTGCACTTGAAATTGATTATGTGTTATGAAAATTTATAAGCAATTTTTAAATTTGTTATACAATTGAAAGATAATACATGTAATTGCAATTATATACATTTTTTGCCTATTGAATCAGTTTTTTGTTTGCAACGAGAATATGCGATTCAATTCTTTAGTAACAAAATAATTTAAAATTATTATCTATCATTCATTCAATATTATCTATATTCTATAATCTTATTTTAGACTTTTAATATTATCTATCTATTAATTTATCTTTTATTGATTCGTGTAAATCTGTTTTATAAGTCTAATCGATAAACATCATACAAATTAATTATAATTAAATTTGAACTAATGATTATTATATAATCGATTATCAATGTTCTACTGAAAGTAGAAATTTTTTATGTTTTATCTATTATTTCTCTAAAATATATTACCATTATTATTTTACTTTTGTTTTTAAATTTATAGTTTTTCAATAAATTATGGCATTCTGTCAGATAATTATTATAAAAATGAATTTTTTGATATGGTTGTACCAAAGTTATCATTTTATCAATTATAAACAATTATAATCAATATCAATTTCTAATATAATTTTTAATGTTATTCCAATATACAGCAGTTTTTTTTTTTTTTTTTTTTTAATAGAAAAATCCTATTTGAATAGTAAGTAATCTAATGGAAAAATTGTCTACGGAAAAATTGAATATTCTCAATAGTAACTAAATAAATTAGTATTAATACTTCTTCTTCTTCTTCTTCTTCTTCTTCTTCTTCTTCTTCTTCTTCTTCTTCTTCTTCTTCTTCTTCTTCTTCTTCTTCTTCTTCTTCTTTGTTGTTGTATTCTCAATAGTAACTAAATAAATTAGTATTAATACTTCTTCTTCTTCTTCTTCTTCTTCTTATTATTATTATTATTATTATTATTATTATTATTATTATTATTGCTGTTATTCGTTTTTTTTTTACTGATTAATATTATTATTAATTTATACTAAATAAACGAAAAATCGATAAATAATAATTAAATTGTACGACTGTTTTAATATAAAATAATATTAAAATTTCATCGTTTCTCTTTACGCATGTCAATTTTAAATTCATTTAATATAGATAAATTTATTTATAACAATATTTGAAAAATTACTCGTGAAGGTTTATAAAAAATTATACATATGAGAAATTAAAAGTGGCTGTACCGTTTTAAAAAATTCAATAATTCGTACGTGTAATACTCGCTTTAGTTCAACGGTCGTATAATATCTATGTTGCCATAAATTTTCATTTTTAATTAATCAAGACATTATTAAAGCTTAAAAATATATACTTTAATATCCATAAATCATATTTACACTTAACTAATCGAACCAATTTCTTGGATTATTCGTTTTTTGCAATATCATCGTTTCTATTAAATTATTTCGACATAGCAGTCGATGAAAGAGCCAAGGTCCTCTTTTGGATCTTTAATACTAAATTGCAAACAATTCAAAAGCTTAAAAGATCTCATTTTTATATATTCCTGTCGACGAAGGGAAACTAGACACTGACATTCGTGTCTCATGAGACCGTCGATCATCATTAATTGTTGTATGGTAACGACACAAATACACTAATAATAATAGTAATTCCGTGTCATCGTTAGAGTTCCAGGGACTATTACTGTCACTTTTTCATTCATAGATTTCAAACCAAAGCATCAATGAACTTTAGATGTCAATAACGAAAGAATTTTCATCGAGCGGAGTAGTAAAGAGTAGAGTTATAGCTAAAGTAAGTTAACGTAATTATTATTATTATTCATAGTGGACTTTCAATGCCTGGGAAGAAGTTCAATATATTTTACATTGAAATTAGTTTTTTGCAAAAAATTTACCGAAAGATATATATGAATAATTGATAAAGCGCTGCTAATAATATTACAGAGAGTATGTACGTAGACTTGTTTTCATTAAAAATATTGCATAGAGTAATACTCAAAATGACTATCGAACCATACATTATTTTTTAATATTTAAATTTTTTTAAGTTTCGATAATGTAGAGGCTGGTTATAAATTATAAACAATTTTATACATGCCATCGCTAATTCTGAAATTATTCAATTTTAGACTTTAATTTGAATCGATAAAACAAATTTCAACTTGATATTTTTAATAACTTAACTTGTTGAACTAATTTTAGAGATAGAGCACAAGAAATATGCATATCTATGCATATAATGCATATCTATGGATTTGAATAACAAATTCTTAGGGATGCACGAAGAAAGAAAAGTACGTCTTTCGACTAGTGGATGTACTGATGACTTTTAAGAAGAGCGAACGTTTTGTGAATGGAACCTAGCCAGTGCTTTCTCTTGCAAATTGACATCCGTGAATGGTAAAAGGCACTTTTAAGTACGTAACGAAAGGGAGTTTCTGATTTTCATTCATTTTTCGCCTTCTTTCTCTTTCTAAAGTCAACTGATTTGTTCTCGCTTCCTCTCATCCACTCTCTCTCTCTCTCTCTCTCTCTTCCTCTCTCTCTCTCTCCTTCTCTCTCTCCTTCTCTCTCTTCCTCTCTCTCTCTTCATCTATCTCATTTTCTATATTGCATTTGGTTCTATTTCTTGGTATTAGATATCTCTGCTTGACTTCTTTTAAACTTATATTCTTATTTGAAAAATCTAGTAGCGCTTATTCAAAAATACCCGAAAGACATATAAATGTTATTCGACTTCCACGAGACTGAATAAGGAAGACATATTTCAATTTTTAAATATTTTTTCATTTTCAAAATTGATTCATTTCATTTGAGAAAAATAACAAGTACCGTTATTCAAACAAAATGTATTACAAGTAAAGACGCTTAAAATAATCTACACATTGCCGATCTATTATTTCTTATTTATCTCGTCATTATGATGACTAGGATCATTTTTTGTTGTATCACTTTCTGTGACTTTTGATGGTGTTGACGACTTCCTTAATCGCACTGGTGGTGGTTTTGGAGTTGTCAGTTCAACCTCCAGATTACGCGCTTTACAAGTCTCCGACGTATCGTTCTTCTTCTTAATTTTCAGCAAATAAATATCGTTATTATCATCGCTTACGCGATCAGTATAAACCTCTTGAGACACGGGCCCGCCTAATTGAGGATGAATCGTTATCCTGCGGCAGTTTTCTCCCTCTTCGATACCAGCTTTATTGATCTGTAACGCATAAATAAAGTCAATATTAAGCGTCAGGTTTTGCTTTATTTTCATTATCCTTATGTAAAGTCCACTTATTAACTCGACATTAACGAAGAATATAATTAAAATAATGATATGGCGAATAAAGGTAAGTTTCGTAAGAGGGAATTTTTCAATAGTATCTATTAAGGAATTATATTAAGTGGAAATAAAACAAAAATTGTTCTCAAAACTAATATTAAGAATCAAAAATTAACGCTAAAATCTTATTTTTAGAATATCATTAACGCATCCCAATTAACACGACGAATATGAAAATAAAAAAAAAATCATTTGTTCATACTTTGTAAGCCACGGTTTGTGGCCTATAATTTGGATCCTGTTTTTTATTTAGATGTGCCTTCGAATGTATTCTAAAAAGTATCTGATTATTATCACCACCATTCACTATTCTAGGTCCTTTAGTATCCGTTGGCCTCTTTATTTTAATGACGTCACAATCACACGGCGGCTCCCAGGCTCCCTTTTTCTTATTGCGTTTGGACTTGTCCTTCTCCATGCGAATTACCAATTGATTATCTAACATTTCGGTGCCAACCTCATAGATATACTTATCATGGCACTTAACTGGAGGATCAGGAGGACAAATCTCGATTGCTTCTGGCATCTCTAAACAGCAGCCACCAGCCGGGGCTCCTTTATGTTTATCGAAATTTAGAAGGATTTATCAATTTATTTTACAAATAAGCTATTAAGAAAAGAAAAGAAAAAAAAAAAAAAAAAAAAAAAAAAAAAAAAGAAAGAAAGAAAGAAGGTTTTGTCTATATATTTCATTAATTTGTGAATGTAATTTATCTAGGATGCAAAAATTGAATTATCGATAAAGAAGTTAGTCTAAAGAGTAAATATTTTTCTTATATTTAAAATATTTTTTACGATAATTATATCTCTCGTAATTATTTGAAGTAAAAAATGTTTTAAAGTATTCTTAATATTATGAGTCTTTAGGGTTAATTATGGCCCACAGAGACTAATTATTAATTAATAATCGAAATGGCAAAAATAATAATACATTTAGTAATTGTTAAAAAAATTTTTATTATTATGCTAGACTTACCGGACATTTTGCGCGCTGATTTTGTTATACTGAAATTTTGCAAAACCGAAAAACTAGTGGGTTTTAATTTTGAATATCCAAATGATAATGAGCGGTTATAACTCTAAAATTGATACATTTTGTACCTAAAAAACCATTTTTTTTTTTTTTTTTTTTTTTTTTTTTATCAAAAATGAACAACTTCAACTTATAAAAATTAATGTAATTTTAAATTTGGTTAACCAAAATTTCATTTCAGTAAAATCATTTTATAAATTTTCATTTAGGAAATAAAAATTCTAGTATGATACGAACTATTAATAAATGTGGATGCTCAGCATATAATTTACCAAATAATCCACACTCGCAATGTTTCCATGCAAACGAGCCAAAGTTTTGCCCATCAAAAACATCACTTGAAACAGGTACTGATTTACATATTTACAATGAATTATTATAGACAATTAACAAACATTAACAAATTGACAAAGTTGTTTCTCTAATAATAATAAATAATAGTTAGTCAATGATCAATTTATATTGTTAAAAAAAAAAAAAAAAAAAAAAAAAAAAAAAAAAAATATTAATTTTAAGACATTTTTAGTTTGTCAATAAATGTGTCGGGTATCATTAATAGCACAACCAAAGAGTTAATAAATTACTTATTGAAATAGTTAATCTAGATAACTGTCGATACAAAAACTAATATTTATTTTGAAGTTTTTTATCTCTATCATAGATGTCTTTCTTAAGAAACGTTTATATAACGTGAATGTTTAATTTATATTTTATAATAAAACTAAAAACTATTATTATTGTTGTATGTAATATTAATAATGTTTTAAATATTTTTTTAAAATATAGCTTAAAAATATTATGACAAATTACTTAAAACATTTCCCATCTGTGTATTTAGAATATTTACATGTTTAATTAATTTAAAGTACAATATCGTATTACTGAGCTTATGTAAAATCAGCTGTAAATGAATAGTTCAACTTTAATAAAATGTAAACATAAATTCATAATCTGACAATGACTCGAGTTATAAATTAAAATATAGGATATATCTTTTTGTATTCATAAAATATGAAGATGAAGTCTCTTGTGGCTGTGGATCTAACTCAAATAGCGAAGAGAAAGAGAATAAATTGTCAATAAAATCGGAAATCGTTGAAAAAGGATTGCCATACAAAGAAATAGAAGCGATCATCAACGATAATCGCATGGTGATCCGAATGCAAGTTGAAAGCCCTCAACCAGAATTCGAACCATCTTGTGATTGTATTGCACCAATTGGTGAACATTCTTTTGATGAAAATGCTGAGGTGGACTTTACATTCGCTTATTTATATTAATTATTCGAAAATTTAAATACAACTTTTTCCAATATAAATACTAACTAAGTTGCCATCGATTTATTAAATTATTATAATGAATAATGTATGTTGAGCATTCTTACTATTTAGAAAATTTGATAAAATATATGAATTTTAGAGAGCAATAATTTGTTCGGTGAAGGGGCGCGAAAAGTATAATTAGAATGAATTAATGTATTTACATTATTAGCAAATATATTTTTGTCCCGTTTTCGATGCAGGGTCATCACAAAAATGATGTAACTTTTCGAAAATCGAGCCAGGGTTGTAAAACGATTACGCTGTATCCACAACCGAAACAAAAATTTTTCGATAGATCGGACAAATCAGAAGATGGAAAGGTCGGTAACAATAATTCAACTTTATCAACAGTGCATCCCGAAGAAAATCCAAACATTTTTGTTTTAAAAATAAAGAAGAAACGTGAAAATGGTGATAAAAAATATAATTTTAATCTTGAATATCTTCAACCAAGACCGTGGCGCAAACAAAATTGTTCATCATAGAAATAATGTAAATAATATAATGTAAAACGACGATAAAAAAAATAGTAAAAATACGCAGTATAAATATAAAAATTATATGAATCAATAAAAATCAATAAAAAGTGTAATTTTTGATAGTATTATTCATTGAAAAAAAAAAAAAAAAAAAAAAAAAACTTCTTTTACACACAATTTTTTTTTTATAGCAAATGTAACGAGTATAAAATAATTGTCCGAATAATAAGAAAATTTAGGTTTAAAAACTTATTTGAATTTTTCAAGTTCAAGTATCATTTAATATTTAAATTAATATGTTTTTAAGTGTTTTAAAAATAATATAATATAAGATAAGTAGTCTGTGTGTATAACATTGTAATTACAAGCATTGCAAATAGTCAAAACAACAGAGTTTATCCTATGAGTTATGTCAACTCTGAACAAACTGTATACTATTAAGATTAAAATTATTATAATAGTTTTATTTTATGAGCAATGTTATCTTGTCGTTAATTTTTGTTTGTTTTTGTTTTATTTTTTGTTTTATTAATATTTGAATGAATAAGAAATCAAGAGGGAAAATTGCTTGCTCATAAATTAATGAATTCGTTGATAAAAACAAAAAGAAAATTGATTAGTAACAGGACGGCTATATTTATTTAATTATAAATTTAACAAATTGAAGAGTATAATGAACGAGAAACTTAGGCATCAAGTAGAAAGAGAATAATACAATGATAATGAATATAGAAAACAATAGAGGAATCATTGTTCTTGAAATTGTTTAGAAAATGAATAAAAAATGAGTCTTCACGGGTGGTATCGGAATAATCCATTATATCGAGTAGCCAAATGGTTCCATACTAACATTAAAAATAAAAAAGAAAGACGCGAGAATTGGTGTACGGGGGGGGGGGGAGAGA